GTGAATTCAGGTTTTGTGGAAACCGGAGGGGAACCATGCAGAAGCCAGCCGCCTCTGCATCAACATAAAGGGTAGCATAACGCACCGTTATGCTACTTCCATGGATCTGTATTCCGAAGCTTGGAAGCCTTCGGGGCCTTGCTCACTGCCGCCCTCTTCCTGGATCCCATGCCAGCCAACTCGCCGTAGAGGTCAGAGCCTGCCTCCAGCATTTCTTTCAAGATAAGGCCCTGATAGCTCGCAAGAGAAAAGCGCAGCCTCAACTTCGGATCGAAATCTTTGGAGTCCCCATTGGTCAGGCTGTCCGCCAAGGTATTTTGCAGTCTTGGCAGCCAGTGCAGGCTGAGGTCAAGGGATCTGCTATGAAGCACGATAGCCAGTTCCATCAGCGCAGCCACCAGTGGAAAAGATGTCGTGAGCCAGCGCGAAGTGAGATGAGACTTACCCATGTTATCCGTTCCAGCTGAGCAGCTGAAGCTCCCAGAGGAACCCTCGCCCGGCTCGAAAAGAAGGATCGCAACTAGCGTGGCAAGGAGCTCCAATGATGCGATGGCCCGATACGGTTCCCCTGACATAAAGAAATGCGGAGCCTCAAGATGCGTCAACTCTTCCGAAAACCAGCGACATTTCCGGGGATCAGAGGCATCAAAACAGGCCCAACCAGCAATGACCATCGCGCTGCCCTCCGCCTTAGCGTCAGTCCTGAAGAACTCCACTGAAGGCCTAGCCTCTCGGTGCACGGCAATGGTTCTATGCCCCTTCATCAGAAGCAGCTCCAAGAAGGCAAGAATGACCGAAACTGCTTTCGGAAGTCTGAGCACATGACAGTGATTCACGGCACAGGTCCATGCGTAAAGAGGACCCAAGAAAGGCCTGAAAAGTGGCAGCAACGTGAAGGTGAACGACAGTCTCCCCACCACAGCCGACAAGTCTGCTACGCGGACTCTCCCTTCGGCTCTGGTCCGCCTAATCCAGCCAATCAACCAATCAGCCCTCGACTGTGAAATGCCCAAGCGTCTCTCGAAAGCAAAGACCGAAAAGCCTATCCATGAATGTTCAGTGCCTCCGCGGAACTTTCTCCAGGCGAATGGCATGCCCAGGATCTCCAGCAAGAAAATCGAAGCCAGGATGCGTATCAACCCGAAGGGCGATTGAGTTAGCCAGATCAAGTCGTCCACATAGGACAGCAGCGTGGTGGCATCACGTCCGTGACTGTAGTACAGGAGCCGCCCTAAACCGGACATGAGGCGGAACCACCAGTAGCTTGCTGAAGCCAGCCCAAACGTTCCCACCGTGTTTAGGAAAATCATGGAGGTGGCTGCGGATGCCTGACGGCACCAATCCTGGCGCCGCACCCTGACTAACCTGTGAGCTCGGGCGATATCCCCCGAAAGGGAGAAGTAGGCCCCCGGAAGCTGCTCGAGCGCAACCTTGAGGTCCGCCCCCGTCGGATAAGTCTGTGCATCTCGGACCCTTATCCGGTCGTTCACATGTAGCCCATGCGTAGCATCGTGTACGACCCGTACCGTTTGGTCAGATTTGGGAACCGCTCCCAGTGAAGCAATGAACAGCTCGTCTCCGTACTCGGCCCGGGCCTGCTCCAGATCACAGCGTACCATGGCTCCCATCTCAACTTCCTGCTCGAACTGTCGCTCAATCTGTTCGGCCCTCTCCCTTGCCGAGATGTAATTGTCACGCAGTTCCCCATCGAAGACGCGGTCCGCCTCCGCATAAATGCGGTGCTTGGTCTTCCTCGGAAACAAGGCCGGAGTGCGTGGCAACCGAACATCCACTCCCAGAGGAACCCCCTTCGAGAAAGACCAGGTCGATGCTGTGTACCGTCTCCAGTCCGGGTCCCCCGCCAAGCGAAGCAGCTCACTCACCGCCTCCAAGTAAAAGGGTTGTCTCTCGGCGACCTTGTCCAGCTCAGCCATCGAGCCTGCCTCCCGCAGCCGACTGAAGAGAAGTTCGCGTCCAGCAACCACCAGCTCCGGAGGAAAAGGCGAGGCCTGCGCTCTTCCAGTCGCCAGCTTGCAAATCTCCAGCTTGACATCGATGTTCGAAGAAAGAAGTTGAAGAAGGCCCTGCATGATATCATGATGAGGTCTAAGGTCCCCATCGAATGATCCGCAGGGCCTCTGTCCAAAGGCCCATCGCCCAGGTGACGCGAGACCATGTCCGTCAGAGAAAAGCTGACCTTGCCTGAAATCGGCTTGGCGATGCCATCCTCATCCTCTTCGGAGGTGCTGCCTGTGGACGCCCCGTCCGCATCCAGGTTCCCAATCAGCCCAGTCGATCTGGCCCGGCCGATCGTTGTTAGAGTCCAGGACCTGATCCAGAGGAGCCCGGTCAGCGGAGGCCACTCAGCTGGGTGGTCTAAAGCCCAGAGTCTCTAGGAACTCCACGTCCGCCGCATCCATGGAGCTGCCGAAGTAGGGAGTGAAGCCCACTACCACAATCCTGTCTCCAGACCACTCCGCAGTGCAGTGAAGGTTCCGTGGATCGAACACCGCGAAGGTGCCCGCAGTTGGCAATAGATCTCCCATTTCAGAAAAACCAGAAAAGGGACAAGACACAGACCTTCAAGGTATTCAGCCTCTAGAGCTGTGTTGAAGCTGCCGTCCTCGGCCTGTCCCCAAGGCTCATGTGGATGATCACCGGGACATCGTTTGGTCAAGAGGGGAGCCGGGCTGCTTCCGAGAAAGGAAGTCTTCTTTTGTCGGGATCCTCCATATGCGCAGCTTTAATTCGCAGTCGGAGAAGTAACCGACATCAATCAATCGATGAAACACGGGTATCGCCCACATGATGCTGTTCGTAGGATTTTCCAACATCCAGGGTATCTGGCGAAGATGAGCCCACCACAGGAAGTCAGCAATATGACTGTAAAGCTGATTGGCTTTCCGGACCTTCAAGGCAAGGGAAGGTATTAAATCTGGCAGGCCCCAGGGAAACTGCAAGGTGCGGAGGACAGGAGGACCTGCGCTTCCATCGGGCATAGGTATTTGCCGTGCTGCGGAGCACGTCCCGCAGGGAGGAGAACCAAAGATGAAGACTTTTGGTTCACTTTTCACGAGGTCTTTCAAGATTTGCCAGGACTCGGGCGAAGTGAGACCCAATTCTCGGATTTCAGTCTGGCGCACATGGCGATTTCCGGCCCAATCAATGGGTACAGCATTTATGCTGGATTCTTGCGCAATCCTGCTGAGTCTAGCAGACCCTGCACAAAGCTCGACGAGGAACCCACCAAGGAGGTCTAAGCTAGGGGCGTTAGGGTTCGGGACGGCAGCAGAGGAAGGAAGCTGCAGACACGGGGTTGGTTCAGGTCTACTAAGGAATGGGGCAAGTGGGTCAACAGCATCTGCAATGTCGGTTCCATGCGAACGACCTGTGGACTTTGGCAGGGCTGGTGGTGGCTCAGGAGGAAACTCGGGCGCAGGCAATCGGAATCCGCTTTCGCTGAGGCAAAGGCGACTGGATTCATCCACAAGTGCATGCAAAGCAACGGTGAATGCCACAAGTACAAGGCGACGGCCTGACCAAGGCAGCGTGAAATGTTCATTATCACGTGCTGGAAGCAGGCACGGGTGTTTGCTGACAGACAAAGAGTAGCCTTTATGCGGCATTCCGTCAAAGGAGGCGTGTTCACTTCCGTCAGGGTGACATACAAAAATATCGCCACCCTCAAAAGCAGTCAAGGGCAATATCAAATTTGCATCAGCGGAGTTGCGCACATCGCGGTGCTTTGGTGTTCGTACATTGTCAAAGAAAACCAGACTGGTCCAGCGAGGCTCGGGTCGCATTTGCTGCACATAACGACACGATAACCGGGTGACCAACGGAAAGCGGGTTGTATTGCAACGCAGTCCACTTGCAGATATAATTTGGCTCGTTCCTCAGCAGGATGCAAAGGAGGCACATGCACAGAATTAATATTGTTACAGGTCACGGTAACAGGCAAGCGCTGTTCACGGCCATGCATGTCACACAAGGCGTCGGCGCCCGACACGGTGGCCGCCTGACTAGGGGTCCCTAGTCACTCACTACGACCTGGGTGATCCAAGAAGGCGTGGTTCTGGAAACACCCTGGGTAACAGCACTCATGCTGACCATTCGGGCAGCTGGATCCTTCGCGCTTGCACTTGCGCAGGTTGTAGTTCCAGCACAAGCGGAGGCCTTTGCGATTGCGTGGCACACCACCTTTCAATGCCGCCGGCATGTACGGTGTGCGCGTGGAAGGATTCTGGTTGCTGCCTTTGTCTTTCCTCTTGCCCTTGGTCTGCCCCTTTCCAGCTTTCTGAGGCTGCTGGTTCTGCCCAAGGGACGCACTGCGCTTGCGCTTGGAATTCGGCTTCGTGGCAGCGGCTTTTGCGGAACCAGGTCGAGGCAACAGAATCTGCTGCACAGAATGTTGGCTCAGCACCTTCGGGACATGTCGATCAAGCGGCATAGAGCCATCACTTCCCAAGGAGAAACCATCACGGCATGCTTCTGACAGAGCAGATGGATCTCTCGGTCACAGGCAGCAACTTGCGACAAGGTGACTTTTTGGAAACCGTCTGGAGGGTCTCGCTGGTAAGCCTCAAACAGCCACAGGATGATCGTTTCGTGCACTTCGAAGCTCATGAGCTCGGATATGGCATAGCATACCCCGCGTCTGCGAAGCGCATTTTGGATGTCCAAGTCAGTAGCTGTGGCTGCTTTCAGGTCACTGTTGCTGGCCACCTCACGAACAATCCCCTGCTTGTCCGGCTTCCATGACTTCAGGGCCGAATCTTCAGAAGTGCTGTACACTTCTTGGGCGCAGGTCGTCAGTTTGCACCACTCAACATAACGGAGTCTTCCATCTTCGCGCATGCCGGCAAAGATTTGGATAGCTGCATACGATGGCTCGAGAACTCCGCGAAGCTTCAAGGGCGCAAGCTTCGGCGCAAGCGCATCTAGGCGAGCCCCAATCTCTGCTGTAGGCAACTTTCGATTTGTTTCATCAGGGCCTTCGATCTTCTTCTTCTTCAAGTCGGCTGCGGTGAAGGTCCAGGCTTCCCAATGCAATCGACGCAAACCGGCTTCGTGCTGCTTTTCATCATCACCCAAGACAGCATCAATCATGTCTTGCACCGCCTTCTCATACCCGCTCTGACCGGGTATCACTTTGGGCACATGAGCAAACAGGGCAAGCGTACTCCAGCCCTTAGAAGTCTGCTTTTCAGTGATGGCGGCAGGCAAGCTGGACTCACTGCATCTTTGCCGGAACATGGCCTTGGAATCAACGTAGGACAGCAACATGGCAAGAAGCGCGGCTTGTTACAAACCTACACTACTGCCCCAGAACTCATCTAGAATTGCTTGAGTCTTTTTCTCCAGCATTTGGGTGCATCTGGTGTCTTCAAGTCAAGACAGATTCGTCACTTCAGCACACGGTCATTTTTGGTCACGCACATCGGAAGCACGCGCCACAGCCTTGCAGGATCACTCTAGGTCGCGACATCAGCTTGGTGTGATGTTTGGACGGAAGGCGTCCACAAAGGAAGACCGAAACGTCCTCATCGGATTCTTTCTTGGCTCGGTGAACTGTGTTCCTAGTCAAGTGGCGGAAGTACAGAAATCCATCATCATGGCCGGACTCTTTGACGTTCTTCAAGGCCGCTATTCCAGCCTGCGCTTTCTCTTTCTCACTATCCGATGAGTCGATGGCGGATTCAGAGGAACCGCTTTCCTCCGATGATGAGCTTCTGAGCAGCTCATTCATATGCTCTTGGTTCGATCGTCTCATGGCTTTGGGCTCTCTCTTGAGCTTCTTAAGAGCATCCTCATAGTCCACGCACTGGTGCCAGCGATGTAGAAGAGGCTGGTCGGGGTTGAACAAGCCCTCTCGAATGATCAATGTCAGTGTACGAACCTTTTCCGCCACTGGAGCAACTGCATCATGAGAGTATTCGAGCTCCGCCGAGCGCCCATACTTCCCAACATGATATCCTGCTCTTCGCTGCAGCTTCGGTGCGCTATCGGCTTTGGCAAGCCAGTTTCCCTGAGTGCGTGCCAATGTCTTTGAGTTCATCTTCGGGAGTGATGGGCTGCAAAAGCTCCCTGAGCCATAGGCACGCGTCTGATGTCCCGAGTTTCTTTGGCCCGAAGCTTCCGTCCGGCAAAGGGCATCGCATCAGGGGTTCGGTTGCCGATGCGACCAGGTTCATAATTTTCCTGTTTTCGATCCAACGACTCGCCCAACATTCCCCATGAAGGCCAGGGCTTGGTGCGATAGCAGGCAGAAGTCTGAAAATATTGGACCGTCGGGTCGACATCGTCTTGGAGCCGTATAACTCCAGCTCGATCAAGTTTCCCCCATCGCTCAACTGCAAGATGGGTTCCTTGCACGCCATCTGAGCATCCGAGAATCTGAGCCTGGAATAAACGAGCAGGCAGATAAAGCCCGCAAAGATTGAGTCCAGCGAGGGCTCGCCACATGCAGTAGTTTCCAGCAACTTGACCTGTTCTAATAAGCTGAAAGGCAACTTCTTTACCAATGCTTTCTTCGGGATGTCGACTACGGTGGCTCCTGATACCCTCGCGGATATGGCATATAGAGGCCCATCTACACCCAACACGGTGTGGGTGAAGCGAACTGCTTGCACAAATCTCTCAGCCCGCGATGGTGCCGCTCTGGTCGCTCTGAGGAAACACACATACTCGTAACAGTGGATCTCTTGAAAAGGGAACGGAGTGAAGACAAGGATCGTGTCTTTGCCCCATCTCACAAATCCAAGAATTGACCCGGCCCTTGACCTCAAAGTCGAAGTGGCCTTCTTTCCAAACACATCTTTCATGATCTGCGTGGCCAATTCATCAGGCGCCGTGCTCAGTTGACGACCTAGTTGTGATGCTTCCGGAGCTCCAGCACTATCGTCGCCTACAATGAGATGACTCTGCAGCGTTCAGGCTCCAAGTCAAGGTTGACCGGTAATGGTCGAAATTTACTGAATCGCTGGTTCTGAACTGGAGGTTGAGCCACATGACCTTCATCTGTCGGGTTGCCGATGTTACTTGAAGAAGCTTGCGATCCAGGCTGCATCTTCTCTGGTTCTGGGATAGGCTTGAGCGATGCAAGTGGACTCGAGCTCAGTGGATCATCAGTAGAAACCCCGAAGAAGTCAATGGACTGTGCACTTCCCAGCTGCAACTTGGCCATTCGCAATGCAAGTTCGAAGTCCATGATGACTGCAGACTGAGCGGGATCACCTGATGACATCCACAGCAGATGAACAATTGCAGTACATCCACAGGTTGACTTGTTGATTCACACCCCCTCGCGACACAAGTCAGGCTGCATACTCTCTGAGGGACAGACGCCCGACGCCGGGTAAGGGGGGTAAAGACCTGCAAGGTATTTTTGATTTCAGTGCCCAGCACTTTTTTGATTTCGGTGCCCAGCACTAGAGCATAAATTGCCACAGATGACATCACATCAATCGCAGGCACACTGAAAGTCAACTGGATGTCAGCAAAACGTGGCAAAATGGAAATCAAAGACAAAATTGTCAAAACCGGA